CAATCAGGTTGCTAGAGTCACCTGATCTTTCTAAGGTGCAGATCCAATAACTTAACTGAGCTGCATGGAAAGGACCTTATGACCCCCTCTGACAGACAAGGAAACTGAGGCTAAGAAGGGTACAGGGACTCAGCTACTTAGCTAAGATTTGAACCTGAAACTGCCCAGTTCCAAAGTCCTCTTTTTTTAATCTTTTGTGGTACTAAGGATTAAACGCAGGATGACCCATCTCCAGTCCTTTCTATTTTTAATTTTGAGACATGATCTCATTAAGTTGCTGAGACTGGCTTGAATTTGTGAGACTTCTTCCCCAGCCTCTCAAGTAGCTGGGATTCCAGGTCTGCACCACTGAACGGGCTCCAAGATTTTTAAGCAGTAACTCCACCTTTTAAATATTTTTTTTTTAGTTGTTGATGAACCTTTATTTTATTTATTTATATGTGGTGCTGAGAATCGAACCCAGTGCCTCACACATGCTAGGCAAGCGCTCTACCACTGAGCCACAACCCCAGCCTCTAAGCAGCCCCCTTTGCTCTGGGCCACAGTCTCCCTCCCAGCCACCTCCGTTCTCCATGAACAGCTTGACCCACTTCTCTTCCTGCCCCCATGATCTCCCTCAGGTCCCTCCTGTCCCTCCCTCCCTCAGACTGTATGGAAAGGAAGTCAAGACTGCTTTTGGTCCATAACACTTTATCATCCTTGGCAAACTTTTTCTTTTCTTTGTGGTACTGGGGGTTGAACCCAGTGCACTCTTACCACTGAACAACATCCCTAGCGTCTCCCATTTTTATAAATTTCATTTCATTAAATTTCCCAGGCTGGCCTGGAACTTAAAATCTTCTAGCCTCAACCTTCACATATTTGGGATTATAGGCATTCACCACTATGCCCAACTTGAAAAACATTTGTGTGTGTGTGTGTGTGTATGTATACACACACACAGATACACACACTGAGCCTATCCCCAAACCTGTTTTTATATTTTATTTTGAGACATCGTCTCGCTAAGTTGCTTAAGGGCCTCCATAAATTGCTGAGACTGGCTTTGAACTTGTGACCTCTTGCTTCAGTCTCCCAAACTACTGAGATTACAGGTAAGCATCACCACACCTGGCTTGAAAAAACATTTTTAGATGTCAATTTATTTCACGTATTTTTTCTGCTAAGGAAAAACAATAAAACTAAGTGATTTCACTTTTATATATGTCCCTCTTTTCACCTCCCTCTAATAATTCAGTTGACCTTCAAAAAAGGGGGCAGGGGCAGAAGAAGCTAACCCTAACCAACCAGCATATCAAGTTACTCTTGCTCCCAGTGCTGATGTCAGGAACAGGTTTATTTTTCTAGTAATATTAGACATCTTGACTCATGAGGCAGTAGGGAATAATACCAAGGTTTGTTTCTGGTCTGCTGCAAACTCTCTACCCCTTAGCTCCATGCGCACCTCCCCTGGGCCAGGCCAGACCCCAGATTCCTCATCAAGATGAATGCAGGGGCCTTGATCTATGCTCCTGCCCCCACAGGAGTCCTATCCAAAGATCCTCCTCAAGGACTCCTCCCCATCTGTGCCAGAGTGACCTCTGAGACACAGATCTCATTGGAACCCTTCTTTTCTCAAACACTTCTGTTCCATTTCCATGACCTACTAGATAAAGTCCAAACAACCAGTCATCTGAAGCCCTTCTAATTTGAGCCCTAGTTGACTCAAGCACCTTCCGTCCAGGCCACCAGCCCCTCTCCCAGGTACAGGCCCCACTGGACATTCTCCCTGTCTGGAATACAGGCTTTGCTTCTGCCTGGCTTTTGCCCATGTGGTTCCCCAGCTGGGTGTCTTTCCTTCCCACCCTGTTGCTCCCCACAGCTAAATCGCTTCTTGTACATTTCCTGTGCAAAGGCTTCCTCAGTCCTGGGTCTGCCAGAGTTAGTTGCTCCTGGATATTCTGCAGGTCTCATCAGGGACTGCTTCTTGTGTATTTTATGTACATCTCCCCCATTAGTCTTAAGGTAATTTCAAAACCCACTCTCACCCCATCAAGCATGATACCTGGGACCCACACAGGTGCTGAGAATTAAAGTCTGGCACTGAAAACTTTCTCAGATCTCATAGTCATATTTCCAGTAAAGGCAGTTAACAGGACTGGAGATGTTGCTCCGTGGTAGAGTGCTTCCCTGCCACATATGAGGCTCCAGTTCAATCCCCAGCACAGCAAAAAATAGGGAGGGTGGAGGTAAAGTCTGGTCTCCCAAAGCTACTTTACTCCAATCTACAAATAACTCAGTTCTGGCCACCATGTCACTTCTTCCAGGAAGTCTTGTGGACTCGTAATCTCTTCAAGAAAGTGTTCCTAGCACCTTCATTAAGGTAGTAATCATGCCACATGGTATGCTTGCCTCTTTAACTATTCATCTCCCAGCCAGGACCAGTTTAAGAATAGCCTCTTGGTGGCAGGAGCTATGGATCTAGTCCTAGGAAAGCACTTAGCAATAATGATGGGTATGGAGAATTCTCAGGATGCCAGGTACATTTTGAGCACTCAACGTGTCCTGACTCATTTAAGCATCAGGACAATCCTTGAGGAGGGTGATATTAGCCATATTTGATGGAAGGGTAAACTGAAGCCAGAGCAGTTTTAAACTTGACCACACAGCCGGGAAGTGGAGGAAAAAGGACTGGAGTCTAGCCCTCACCTGCACAATCTGAACTGTATCACTGGGTGAAGGGAATTAGAGCCAATGCCCCCCACCACACCCCAATAGCCCTGGTCCATCCGTGGACTCCTGGTCATTTTCCCCCAGGAGACACAGTCTCATGCCAGTCTGCAGGGAATTGCTCAAAAGCAAAGCTGAGGTCTGTACTAATAAAGCGCTCTTGGTGAATAACATTTTAATAAAGACTGTTTGTTCTTATCTGCCTGAGAAGATGCCCATTTCCTGCCACTCCATGGGGAGGTCCTGGGAATGGTTAGCATTGCTTTGCTGAGTGAATAACCTCTGAGGCTGCTTTAGAGACAAAGGACTTAACAGGATCAGGCCGAATGCCAGAGCTCTCAAAGAGGGCCACCTCTGTCCTTGCTGATGAGCACAATAGAAGGCTCAAAACTCTGAAACAGGCCTCTCATCTTTGACCCACTAACACCAATTGGAGAAATGTATACTAAAGACCTCTCCAAATAATTCCCAAAGCTGTATATATGAAGGAATTCCTTAAGACTAGGGGGAAAATAAAGATCCATCAAAAAGGAATTAATTGGGGGCTGGTGATGTAGCTCAGTGGCAGAGCGCTTGCCTAGCACTTGTGAAGCACTGAGTTCGATCCTTAGCACCACATAAACATAAACAAAGAAAATAAAGGCATTCTGTCCATCTATAATTCAAAAAATCTTTTTAAAAAAGGAATTAAGGGAGCTGGGGATTTGGCTCAAGCGGTAGCGCGATCGCCTGGCATGCGCGCGGCCCAGGTTCGATCCTCAGTACCACATACAAACAAAGATGTTGTGTCTGCCAAAAACTTAAAAAAAATAAATAAATATTTAAAAACTCTCTCTCTCTCTCTCTCTCTCTCTCTCTCTCTCTCTCTCTCTCTCTCTCTCTCTCCTTTAATAAATAAATAAATAAATAAGGAATTAATTAGATGGAGTTGGAGAATATCACGCTAAGAGAAGTAAGCCAATCCCAAGAAACCAAAGGCTGAATGTTCTGTCTGATAAGTGGATGTTAATCCATAATGTGGGGAGGGGGGCATGGGAAAAATGGAGGATCTTTGATGGGGCAAAGGGGAGAGAGGAGTGGGGAAGGGAAGTGGGGGCCGGAAAGATGGTGGAATGAGATGGACATGGACATCATTACCCTAGGAACATGTATGACTGCACATACAGTGTGACACTACATCCTGAACAACCAGAGAAATGAAAAGTGGTGCTGCAATTGTGCACATGAATCAAAATGCATTCTGCTATCATATGTACCTAATTAAAAATAATTAATTAATTAATCAAAAAAGGAATTAGTGGGCTGGGGATAACTGGTGGAGCTCAGTTGGTAGAGCACTTGCCTTGCATGCACAAAGCCATGGGTTCAATCCCCAGCATCACAAAAAAAAAAAAAAAGGATAAAAAGGAATTAATTAATCAATCAATCAATTAATTTTTTGTGGTATTGGGTATTTAGCTCAGGGGCAGTCTACCAAGTCCCCCAATAGCATTTTGCCTGCCTTTGGTATCAGGGACTGAACCCAAAGAAGCTTAACCACTGAGCCACAACCCTTTTTTATATTTTATTTAGAGACAGGGTCTTGCTGAGTTGCTTAGGGCCTCACAAAATTGCTGAGTCTGGCTTTGAAATGGAGATCCTCCACCTCAGGGGTGGGAGCCTGGCCCCCGGTAACACTATTTTAAATCATTTTAATAAAAGAATATATATATATTTTTTCCTTTTACATTTATTTATTTATTTATTTATGTGGTGCTGAGGATCAAGCCCAGTGCCTGACACTTGCGAGGCAAGCGCTCTACCACCGAGCTACAACCCCAGCTCCTCAATAACATTTTTTTTTCTGATACCAGTGATTGAACCCAGGGGCGCTTAACAACTGAGCTAAATCCTCAGCGCTTTTTTGTATTTTATTTAAAGACAGGGTCTCTCTGAGTTGCTAAGTGCCTCGCTAAATTGCTGAGGCTGGCTTTGAATTTTCGATCCTTCTGTCTCAGCCACCAAGTCACTGGAATTACAGGCATGCACCACCATGTGTGACTCCCAATAGCAATTTTTTGGTTTTTTTGGTGCTAGGGATCGAACCCAGGGCCTTGTGCATGCAAGGCAAGCACTCTACCAACTGTGCTATATAGGATTATTAAGGGCTACTTTTCCTCTGTTTGAAAAGCTATACTTTATGGATTTCTTTTTAAACACTCCAGGTAAGCACTCTATCACTCTTTATTTTTTGAGACAGAGCCTCACTAAGTTGCTAAGGCAGTCCTCAAACTTGGGATCCCCATGTTTTTTAGTCAGCTTTTTCACTGCTGTGACTAAAGGACCCGACCAACACAATTGTAGAAGAGAAAGGGTTTATTTGAGGGCTCACGGTTTCAGAAGTCTTAGTTCATAGAAGGTCGGCTCCAGTCCTTGGGGCTTGAGGTGAGACAGAACATCATGGCGGGAAAGGGTGGCTCACAGCATGGTGATCTGGAAGCAGAGAAAGAGACTCCTTCTGCCAGATACATATATATATTCCAAAGCTTCGCCCCCCCCAAGCCCTACCTCCTCCAGCCACACCCTGCCACTTAAGTCACCATTTAGTTAATCCTGTCAGGGAATTAATTGATTAGGTTAAGACTCTTACAACCCAATCATTTCTCCTCTGAACCTTCTTGCGCTGTCTCGCATGTGAGCTTTTGGGGGACACCTCACATCCAAACCTTAACACCCTGCTTCAGTCTCTCAAACATCTGGGATTATAAATACCCACCATCACACGGACCTAGCTATTTTTAACTCTTTTAATTCTGTGCTCATTTTTACCTCTCCATCGAACTCAAACAATAAAAATAATGACATCTTTTTTAAAAAAATATATATTTATTTATTTTTTTAGGTGTAGATGGACACAACACAATACCTTTATTTTTATGTGGTGCTGAGAATCGAACCCAGGTCTCGCCCGTGCTAGGTGAGCGTTCTACCGCTGACCCACAATCCCAGCCCAAAATAATGACATCTTACATCTACCTATGAAATCCTTCCCTGTATCCCCCTAAAACTAACCAATCTTTGAATGATTGTGTTTTTCCTTCCCTTGCTTCTTTTATATAGCTTAACATGTAAATACATATGGTTTAAATATACCACGGTTTACTTTTAGTTGTTCCTAACCTTTATTAAAAAAAAAAAAAAGTAATAGAGATGAGGATGCAGCTCAGTGGTAGAGCACATGCTTAGCATGCATGAGGTCAGGGGTCAATCCCCAGCACTAAGAAAGAAGAGAAAAAAGTACAGTTTGGAATGTCCCATTCAACATGATATTACTCAGATTCATTCATGCTGTGTGTATAGCTACAGTAGATTCACTTTTTTTGGATTGCTCTGTTTTAATCCTCTGTATGAACTCGCTGGAGGGTTTTGTTTGTTATCCATTCTCCTATCAATGGACCTTGGGTTTCTCCAGATTTTTGCTCTTACAAGTAAAGCATTTATAAACATTCTTGTACAGAATTCCTGCTATCTCTGTGTCTGGTGTTTTCTCTGATTAAATGAAAGCCCTGGGGTGTAGGATTTGTGAATGCTCGATTTTATTGGAATCCTACCAGTTCATACTTAACAGCCTCAGGTCAAAGAAACACTGCTAATGCAGATCCTCTGCTGCCCTAGGCATAGACTTCTTCATTTTGGCAATTGAATGAACAGACCTGCACAACACTTACTGTTTTGCTCTTTCCAAACTTTGTACCAGGTGCATGTGTTATCTATGCCAATAACTAAAATGTAATTATAGTTTTGTCTGAAAAAACAAGATTGGATATAGGGGTTGGAGGTATAGCTCAGTGGTAGAGTGCTTGCCTACTTCCCACCAGGGTCTGAGTTCAATCCCAGCACGCTGCCCCTCAAAAAAAAAAAAAAAAAGGTTGAATACAGCTCAAAATGTCATTCCCCCTGCCCCCCAGTTCTGGGAATCAAACTCAGGGCCTCATAAATGCTCTACAACTAAGCCACGTCCCCAGCCCTCAAAATGTCAATTGTGGTTATCTCTGAAATAACAGGTGACTTTCATTTTTATTTTTCTTCTGTTTGCTTATCCCTGCATTTAAAATTTTTTCTATTGTGGATAATTTATTTATTTTTCCCCATTCTTTTTTTAATTTGTTTTAATTAGTTACACATGACAGTACAATGATCTTGACATATCATACATTTGAATCAGATGAGGTATAATTTCTCATTTTTCTGAGTGTACAGGTTGCAGAATCACATTGGTTATGCAGTCACGTATATACCCACAGCAATAATAATGTCTAGTTTATTCTGCTGTCCTTCCTTTTCCCCCTTCCCCTCCTCCCCTCAATTGTGGATATTTATTACATTATTATATATATATATATATATATATATATATATATATATATAATTTTTTTTTCAAATAAAGAGAGAAGGGGCTGGGCATGTGACTCAGAGGTAGAGCATTTGCCTATCAAGTGTGAGCCCTGGATTCACTCCCTAGCACTGAAAGAAGGTGGGGAGGCATACGCATCCGTTAGCATTAGTTATTAGATAAATGCAAATTAAGACCACAATGAGATACTACTATACTAGAATGGATACAATTGAAAAGACTGACCATGTAGCCAAATACTGGCAAATGGGAACTCTCAGACATTACTGATGGCATTATGAAAAGGTATGGCCACTTTGAAAAGCAGTTTGGTAATCTCTTATACACATATGCTAACCCTATGATTCAGCAATTCTACTCCTAGGTATTTTCCAAGAAGAATGAAAAGAAATGTTCATAAGAGACTCAAGAATGGCTCAGGCGTGGTAGCACCCACCTGTAATCCCAGCGGCTCTGGAGGCTGAGGCAGGAGAATTTCAAGTTCAAAGCCAGCCTCAGCAACGGCAAGGTGCTAAGCAATTCAGTGAGACCCTATCTCTAAATAAAATACAAAATAGGACTGGGGATGTGGCTCAATGGTTAAGTGCCCCTAAGTTCAATCCCTGGTACCCCAAAACAAAAACATGAATGTTTCTAAGTAGCTTTATTCATAATAGCCCCAAACTGGAAATATCCCCAAACCCCTTAGGTACTAAATGGATAAACAATTCTACAATTTTTGGTATATTCACAAAATGGAATACTCTATTAAGCCAGAAAGAATAAACTATCACTACAGATACAATATGGAGGCATCTCCAAAGCATTTTGCTAAGTGGAAGAAACCATGGGCCTATATACTGTGTGGTTTCATTCATATGACGGTCCAAAAAAGAAAAATCTATGGAGACAGAGAAAGGTTCAGAGGAGCCAGGGCCTAGGGATGGGTGGTATAGTTGTCTCTAAGGGCACAGGGAGTTTGGATATGAAACAAATGTTCTGCATCTTGATAATAGGAGTGCACAGATAACTGCCATGTGTCCATCAAAACTTGACGAGCTGTATGCCAAAAAGTGGGTGTATGCCTGTAATTCCAGTGACTTGGGAGGCTGAAGCAGGAAGATTGCAAGTTTGAGACAAACCTTGGCAATATAGGGAGGCCCTAGGGACTTAGCAAAACCCTGTCTCAAAATAAAACATTAAAAAAGGGCTGGGGTGGCTCAGTAGCAACCCTGGGTTCAATCCCAAGTACAAGAAAGAAAGAAAGAAAGAGAGAGAGAGAGAGAGAGAGAGGAAGGAAGGAAGGAAGGAAGGAAGGAAGGGAGGGAGGGAGGAAGGAAGAAAAGAAAAGAAACGAAACCTAAGACTTTGGCTATACCCATTCAAAAAGTATAGTTCCTGGGTCTACAAATGTACTTACTCCATGGTAGAGTACTCAGCACCATGGGGGGGGCGGGCAGGAAATAGATATAAGGGACTAGGGATATAGCTCATTTGGTAGAGTGTTTGCATCCCATGCACAAAGCCCTGGGTTCAATACCCAGCAGCACACACACCCACACACACACCCACACACACACACACACACACACACACACAAGGTATAGTTCTCTATGCCTGGGATTGCTTAACCGGAAGTTAGGTGCCTGTATCTGGCTTGCTAAGAGAATCCAAGAGTGAAGTTAGATTAGAAGAAAGCAAAGACAGATCCCTGATGACATCACTCGACTACCTGGAGTCATCTATGCGGGAAGTTCATCTCTCTCTGGACTTTTTGGTACTTAAGCCCCAAATTACACCCCTCCTTTCTTTCTGTGTAGGCACTTGTGTTTCTTGACACTTATAACCCAAAGCAATGAGCCCACAATGCCAACATACAGAGAGGAGAGAACATTGGACCAGGAGTTTTAAAACTTGGATTTGAATAGAGATTTAACTATGTAGTAGGTCTTGAAACTGCTCTGTATTTCAGCCGCTTCAGCTGCGGCGTAAAGGGAACGGTGTTGCTCCCTGAAATGGTGTTGTGCTGGGAAATCAAATAGCATATGGGAAAGTAATTCGTAATCTGTACCATGCTTTGCAAATTCTAAGGCTCCATACATAGAAGGGCAACTTTTGTTGCACATGTCCAATAGAAATGGTTAAATAGAAGTGAATTTACCCGGGCTGGGGATGTGGCTCAAGCGGTAGCACGCTCGCCTGGTATGCGTGCGGCCAGGGTTCGATCCTCAGCACCACATACACACAAAGATGTTGTGTCCGCCGAAAATTAAACAATAAAAATAAATAAAAATTATTTAAAAAAAAAAAAAAAAAAAAGAAGTGAATTTACCCCACTTATTCCATTTACCCCATGTCTATTTCACTGTGTGACAACTGGCAGATGTTTTAACCTCTCTGAGCCTAGGTTCTTGCTTTGAAAAAATTGATCCTTTGGGGTCCCTCTGGGGGATTTGCAGTCTCAGTCAAGTGACTCTCTTGCAATAGGGATGGAGTGTAGCTCAGTGGTAGAATATGTGCTGAACCTATGTGAGGTCCTGGGTTTCATTCCTGCACCAAAAATAAATAAAATGAAATGGTGCAATGGCTCCCTATTGATTTCAGGACACAGTGCAAGCTACTGACTCTGATAACAAGAGTTCCCACCCCTGCTTGGTCTTTACCTGCCTCTTATGCATGATCTCTTCTCCAGCTAGACTGAATGCTCCTCCCCTCTGGGCTTTTTGCCCAAGTGGTGACCTTTGCCAGGAACCTTTGGTTAAACTCAACTTAGTTTCTTTCTTTCTTTCTTTCCTTCCTTCCTTCTTTCGACTGGGGATTGAACCCAGGGGCACTTAACTGAACCACATCCCCAGCCTTTTTTTATATTTTATTTGGAAACAGTGTCTCACTGCTGAGAGCCACGGCCGAGTCTGTATGGCCCCTGGCATTTTGCCAACAGTATTGATTGACAGGCGAGGCATTACTATCCGCCTCTGCCGCAACTTTTGAGTTCTCGCACTATTTTGGAGTTCTCGTGGGGATTTCCGGGGATTCCCCGAGAGTTCCCATTGGTTGGGGAAGTGCAGGAGGAGGGATTTCCGGGAGAGATATTTCCGGC